CTCTGACCATCTTTCTACTTTCTCTTCTGCATAGCTCCTTGAGCCTTGAGGGGGCGGGGCTTGATGTGGAACTCTGTTAATTCCCAGCTGCTGTAAGAATTATCTCAGTTCTTCATCTTATTTTCTAAGACAAGGCTTCTCATTGACCCCTGAGCTCACAGTTTCACCTATACTATCTAGCTGGGAAGCTCCTGAGACCTGCTTGTCTTTGTCTCTCAGCACTTCTGTCACTCAGGCTCTCATGCTTACAAGCACGTTGTACATTGAACTATCTCCCCAGCCTATCTACAACCTTTGAATAGTACTATATAGGCTGGAATTCAGTATCCAACACCCCAGCTTTACGAGGGCATTGAAGATCTGAATGACAGCTGTCTTTTTTTTTAGGATGTTACTTTCATTTTTTTATTATTAATTTTTAAAATTAATTATTCCATTCATTTACATCTCGAATGAAAGATGATATCCCCTTTCCCAGTTACCCCTCCACAACCCCCATTCTACCCCCCTCTTCCTCCCCTTTGCCTCAGTGAGGGTGCTCCCCCACCTACCTACCCACTCCCACCCACTGCTCCAGCATCCCCCTATGCTGGGGCATCAAATCTCCACAGGACCAATGGCCTCCCCTCCTATTGATGTCAGACAAGGCTTTTCTCTGCTACATACAGATCTGGAACATGGATGCCTCCTTACTTGGTGGTCTAGTCCCTGGGAGCATTGGGTGGTGCGGCCAGCCAATGCTATTCTTCCTATGGGGTTGTTCCCTCTGCTCCTCCAGTCCTTCTGCCAGCTCTGCCACTGGGGTCCCTGAGCTCAGTCTGATGATTGGCTGCAAGCATCCTCATCTGCATTGGTCAGGTGCTGGCAGAACCTCCCAGGGAACATCCACACCAGGTTCCCATCAGCAAGCGCCTCTTGGTAACAGCAACAGTGTCAGGGTTTGGTGTTTGCATACAGATGGATTCCCAGGTGACGCTGTCCCCAAATGGCTCTTCCTTTAGTCTCTGCTCCATTTTTTGTCCCTGTTTTGACTGCTATCTTAATTACTTACTCTTTCTCATACTGTGATGAAAGCAATCTGAGAAAGCATTTCTCACAGTTTTGAAGGTACAGTCCGCAGCAGGAATGGCATAGAGACAGGTGTGAGAGGCAGCTGGTCACATTGCATTTGTTGTCAGGAAGTGAAGAGAGATGAATTATGGTACTCAGCTCATGTCCTCCTTTTATGCAATTCCAAACCTCAGCCCATGGGACAGGGACACCTACATTTAGGGTGTGTTTTCTCACCTCAATTGACCCAATCTAGAAACTCACTCACAGGCATACCTAGGGGGTTGTCTCCTGGATGATTCTAGATGCTATCGAGTTGACAATATTAACCACCACAAAGCAGTTCCCATTTTTCAGACAGGAAAACCTAAGGCTCAGAGAACTGGGATGACCAGTTTATTCATGGTACCTGGAGGGGGTGCAGAGCTTTTGTCTAAATCCAGGTTTGCCTGGCTTGGTAAGTTTTCTGTGCTCAGCTAGGAACCTTCCCAGCTCTGTAGACACATCAGCAGAGAAGGGGCGTCTCCTTCCCTAGGAAGATCGGACAGGACAGCTGGGTGATGGACAGGGTATTCCCCATCATGTTAATTAATAGCTCTCTTTTGAGCAATACATGCCTTGCCATCATATTCTGAGCCACCCTTCCCATTTTACTTCCTGGGGCCCTCTGGGCTCTGGTTCCTCTGAAAGGTCACGCCACTTTTCACTTCCTACTCTTTGCAGTCTCTCTCTTATCCTTGAAATACTGTTCTACCTCCCCATTTTGTCTCTGCTTCTGTAATGCCTCTTTTCAAAAATGCCTCAACTGCACCAGCCAGGTGACCTGAGTTCAGTCCCTGGAACCCACACAAAGCCGGATGGGAAGAACTGATTCCACAAGGCAATTCTCTGACCTCCACATGTATGTCATCACATGTGTGTCATGCATACATGTTATACAAGGAGAAAGAGGAGTAGTGAGGCAGACAGACTTACTTTAACATTCATTAAAAAACATGGCACTGTGCATTTGGGTTTTCTAGGAGGTGTAAAAGCTGAAGGAGCAGAGAAGGGTCTTAAAAGTTGCTGCAGCTGGTGCCCAAAACAAAACAAAACAAAACAAAACAAAAAAGCAAAAAAACTGAGGGGGTGCCAGAGATCCCTTCAAATGCCCTACTAGAGAAGACCAAAGAAAATCAATAAGGTCTGTTCCCTTGAAGAAAAAAGAAAGAACATGTCAGTAGAAGCACGAGGCATCTGATCACACTGCATCCCAAGTGCAGAAGCAGAGATCAGTGAATGCTGTTGGTCAGTTCACTTTCTGCTTTTTATTAGACCAGGAATCCAGGGATGGCGCACTCTTAATTAAGGTGGGTCTTTGCACTTCCAGTAACATAATCTGAAACTCCCTCACAGGCATGCCCAAGACTTGTTTCCATGGTGACTCTAGATCCTGTCAAGTTGATAATCAACATTAGTCATCACAGTAGGTCAGCTACTATATAGAAGAACCCTTCTATATAGAAGAATCCTCATAAATGAGCTGAAGGTCTCATAAAAGAGATCCCAGAGAGCTCCCAAGGTGGATCCGTGAGTAAAGGTGCTTCCAGCAAGCCTGACAACCTGGATCCTGTCTATGGAACCCACATGGGAAAAAGAGACATCTTTTCACTGTGGCATGCCTCCTGAAGTGGAAGAAGGAGAATCTGGACTCAGCGTCAACTTTAGCTACATACAAAGTTGTTTTAGGTCAACCAGGGCTAGGTGAGACTCTGTCTCAGAAAAACCAATTCTGTGTGTGTGTGTGTGTGTGTGTGTGTGTGTGTGTGTGTGTGAGAGAGAGAGAGAGAGAGAGAGAGAGAGAGAGAGAGAGAGAGAGAGAATGAGACAGAGAGAGAGAGAGACAGAGAGAGAGAATGACACACACACAGAGAGAGAGAATGAGACAGAGAGAGAATGAGACAGAGAGAGAGAATGAGACAGAGAGAGAGAGAGAGAGAGAGAGAGAGAGAGAGAGAGAGAGAGAGAGAGAGAGAGAATGAGAATGAGACTGGAGAAATTGCTTAGGAGTTAAGGGAAAATATTGCAGGGGACTTGAGTTTGGTTCCCAACACCCACAATGGGCAACATAAAACGACCTGTAACTGCAGTTCAAGATGAACGGATGGCTGATCACATGCTTTCTTCTGGCTCCTTTAGGTGCTGCACTTACACACACACACACACACACACACACACACACACACACACACACACAAAAAACCCTTTCTTTTTGCAAAAAGAGAGGAAACCCCAGAGCACTCACTGACCCCTTCCAGTCTGGGAAGACATGGTAACAAGAAGTTACCTAAGAACTAGGAAGCAGCATCCCCAGATACGAGCTGCAGCTTCCTTCTTTAGCTTCCCAAAGTCCAGAATTGGGAGACATCAGTTTCTTTTGCTCTGGAGCCACTAGGGCTGTGACCCAAACAGACAGAGGTTCCTCCTATTGGCCAGTATATGAGTAAGCACCAGGTGGTGCCGGGAATGAGACCCAGGACCTCATACAAGCCGCAGTTCTAGCTCCAGGGTATGGGATGTGTATGCTTGAAGCTACATGTGTCCTGTGATCTCACACATTTACAGAGTGGGGGACTGCTGTCATGTTCCATCACCATTACTCAGGGGCCTCATTTCGAGCTGACATCCATTAGAGTTCTCTTAAAACAGGTGAACAACTTGTCCCAGCTGGGAACACTGTTTTAGCAGTATTTGTCACCTGGGAAGGACAGAGGATCCCAGCTCATCTAAAAAGGTCAAAGTAGTACCTAGCAAGTCAAATCCAAGTAGGAAAGGGTCGACATTAGGAGCAACTCTGATCTCCCTTGAGGCTGAGTTTTCTATGTCAGGCAGACCAATCTCTGCAATCTCTCTCTCTCCTCCCTCTCTCCTTTCCTTCCTTTCTTCTTTCCTCCATTTCCCCCTTCTCTTCCCTTCCTCCCTGTGTGTGCAGGAGTACAACCATGTAAATTTTGTTGTGTGTACACATGCGTATACCACAATGAATGTATAGATGTCAGGGGAATACCTCAGGTATTGGTCCTCAGTTTCCATATTCTTTGAGGCAGGGTCTTATTCCTTGCTGCTGACTCCCAGCTAGCCAGTGTACAATTTTCCAAGGACTCTTCTGTCTCTATCTCCCATCTCATTGTGGAGTGCTGGGGTTACAGATGTGTGCAACAGCATCCAGTCTTTCCCTCCATGGGTTCCTGGGATTCAAACTCAAGTCTTCAAGCTTGCACGGCAAGCACTTTACACACTGAACTATCTCTCTAGTTCAATGTCCATAAATCTCAAGTGATAACATCACTAGACTACATGATATTTTCCTTGAGTACTGGACTAAACCTTACCTTGACAATTTACAGCAGGGGCACTATTTCTTATTTTTCTTATTCTCTCTTTTTTCTCTCTTCAACTTCATCTATTTTTTCTTCTTCATGGCCTCTAATGGTCTAACTTGCTATGTAGCCTTGAAACAACCTTGAACTTTTGATCCTTCTGTTTCTATCTCACACTTTCTGGGATGAGAGTTACACACCAGTTTCTACAGTGCTTGGGATTTGAAACCAGGGCCTTGTGTATGCTGGGCAAGCAAGCACTCTAAAAATTGAGTGATAGCCCCAGTCCCTCACTGCTCCATTGCACAGCTGAGTAAACCAACTCCCAGTACTAGATATGGCTTAGAACAAGGACATTGGCATAAAAATATACTGTACAACTCCTGTCTCAGATTAGCACCTTTTTAGCTGTGTCAAGCAATGTTTCTCTCCCCACACTTTTCCGGGGTAAGGGTATCCCCATCCTGTTCCTTTTTTTCCCCTGAGTCAGAGAAGAATGGGCCTCACAGAGGGTGCTTGAGAGGGTCATGGGGTTATATAAATGCCAGGGCAGAGGGAAGGTAGAAAGAGGGGAGTCGAGAGAAGCAGAAGATGGCAGGAGAGCCAGAGCTCCGTCAGCCAAAGAACTATGGTGAGGCTGGGCACCCTCTAGGTGCTTTCCGGGGAGCGGGATCCAGGATCCAGGTAATCTGGACCTGGCCTTCAGCTTCGCTGGGGTGAGGGAGGGGGCTGAGCTTTGAAGGTCAGCTGCTTATGTTCTGTCCCATTCAGAGGAGGAGGAGGTCACATCCAGAGATCAGGGATTTGCTGAGAATGACCCCGAGGGTCAGATTTGCAGCCCCAAGAGTTTGCAAGGTACCAGGGTGATTCAGGGGCAGAGGTGTCAGGGATCCTCTGCAGAATGAACACAGCAGGGCAGGATCTGCTCCTTGGGAGCTCAGCTCTGCCCATCTGTCGGTTCTGCAGGATATCTGATCCGTGTCCCCTGGCTTCTGCTGCTTCTCATCATTTTGGGCCTCTTTTTGCTTATGTTGGCCACCCTGATTCAAGGTAAGTCAGAGCAGGGCTGGGAAAGGGGGTCTGGAGTGTGGGGGGGTCTGCTTTTATTTTATTTATTATTTTGTTTTTGCACTCGGTAAGCAAGAACTCCAGCATGGGACAGTAGCTGAACTCTTAGATTTTTTTCCTCTGGAATGATCCTTGCCTACCCCCAGATTCACCACATCTGGGACATCTAAGGTCCACTTCCCTCACATCATTTGTGACCAGGAGCAGCTTCCTGTCCCTCTCTGAAATGGGGCTCACCTTTCCCTTGCAACTGAACTTGGCACAGCCAGGCACAGTCAGTGCTCATAAGGGGGTGTGGGTGTATGTGCTCTTCTCTCTCGCAGTTTCCAGGATTCCTGCATACTCCAAGGGACAGACCCAGGATCAGCAGGGTAGCTCCAGCTTAGGGAGAGGTAACTGGGGCTCTAGGTGGGAGAGGACTCTCAGGTTGTGTGAAGTGGGTAACTATGGGCACAGACATGCTGGGTGCATGGCAGGATGGGGGAGGCCAGAGACCTGTTGGGCCTAACAGATTCTGAGGCCCAGTGTTCTGGTCTGTGAAATGGTCTGTGAATTGAGGTCACTGTGACCACCAATGTAATTTTTTGAGTCCAGCTTTGGACCAGGCACACAGTTGATGCTTAACTGTTGTCCACCTCTCCTTGTAGGTGCTGTTCCTCAGGAGCAGACACACTCCGGCTTGGAGCAGATCCAGCAGCAGCTGGCTCAGCTCAATGCCTCGCTGGGTGAGGCTCCAGGACCTGAGCTGGGACAGAGCTGAGGGGTCATCAGAGGGATTGGCATCCACTTTCTGGGTCTCCCACTGAGGCAGGCAGGATAGAGCACAGGGACTGTGGTCTGGGTTTTGGGGCCACTGAGTTGATAGCTGAAATGGGAGACCAGCCCTGGACTGTAATATCCGGGGCAGGGGGGAGACAAAAACCGTTCAACCACTGAGCTCAGTGTTTGCTCTGTAGCTGGCCTGTGCCGGCCCTGTCCCTGGGACTGGGAGCTCTTCCAGGGAAGCTGCTACCTCTTCTCCAGAACCCTGGGCAGCTGGGAAACCTCTGCCTCCTCCTGCAAGAATCTTGGGGCCCACTTGGTGATTATCAACAGTGTTGCAGAGCAGGTGAGTGGGCCACAACCTTACCTGTCCTAGGCATTGGACTCTAGATGGGAAGCTGTGGAACATGGAGGAGATGCTGTCTGAGGGGGCTTCCTGTAGGAGGAAGCACAGAGGACTGGGGAGGTTCTCTAGGGGAAGAACAGATGAGGGAGGGAGTAGAGAAAGTTTGAGACATCGTGTAACCCTCCAGGAATACACCTGTGAACTGAGGTGTAAGTGAACATGTTTTCACATGCATGCACTTTATCCTACATTCACGCATGCATGCATATGACAATGTGTACAACTCAGTACAGTGCCTCTAGGCTTGAGCGCAGAGAGAAATTGTATGAGAGGCAGAGAGGAGTGGGAAGCATCGAATCAGACCTTTCTCTGTGCAGAGATTCATGAAATATTGGAATGTGAGGAAAAACCAACGTTCCTGGATTGGCCTCAGTGACCATACACATGAAGGTTCCTGGCAGTGGGTGGACAACAGCCCCCTCAAGTTCAGGTGAACACTCAGATTCCATGGCTCAGAAAGCAACTGGCAGGGAGATGGCCCTCACTCTAAACACAACTTTCACTGTTGGCAAGAACTCATAGAGCATCATAACTACAACCCCATATTACCTGAGTATTCTCACATCCTGCCCCAACTTAAGCCCAAAATCTGGGGTCCTCATTTTTCCTTTGCTGAGCTGATTCTCTTAGGGGTCATGTTAGACTCATATATTTTTAATAGCTCTCCCATAAACTTCTGCCCACTGCTTAGAGTGTTCTTGGTCTTTTACCATGAGACTATATAGCTCTTCTTTGCTAGCTATAGGGTGGGTTCTGGGTGGAATGGCTCTTTCTCAAAGCCAATGATGTTTGTAGCTTTTGGAAAGAGGGGGAGCCTAACAATGATGGAGATGAGGACTGCGTGGAGCTGTTCATGGATGATTGGAATGATAATAAGTGCACCATACAAAACTTCTGGGTCTGTGAGCAGCCCTCAGCTCCCTGCCCTGGTCACTGAGGGTCTATGCTCCCCTAATGACGCAGACAACTTGGGGATACTCTGCTTCAGTTCCAGCCATCTTGTTCATCCCAGTGTCTCTGTTCTGAGACCTTTGAGATCCTGAGAGAGTTCCTGAGGCACCCTTCCCTGCAGCTCTTCCCTCTTCCTCTGTGGGTGACTTCAGTTACACAAATCCAGAGCCCATGAATCCCTTCAGCCGAGTCATACATACAAGGAGTTGGAGTGTAGCTCATTGATATACTCCAGTTTGTCTAGCACGAGTGACTCTCTGAGTCCCAACCCTAGCTCCCAAATAAATGAATAAACAAATAATTAAATTCATGCCTGGTCTGATGTGTTCCACTTAGTGGATTCTCTATTCCTGGACACTGTGCTCATTAGAAAAGCTTTGAAATGTATGATATTAACTAGGATGTTAGTGTCTACAATACCTTTGGGTTGTGGGCAATTCACTTGCTTGCTTGTTTGGGACAGACACTTATTATGGACTCTTGGCTGGCCTCGAATTCACCAGATCTACCAGCTTTTGCCTCCTGAGTTCTGGAATTAAATGCATGCAGCACTACACCTGGATAATCTGTTTTATTTTAAATTTGTGTTGGGAATATGCACCCACTGAGTACATACATTCATATTCATATTATCTTTTTCACTTTGTTCTTCAGTCCCTTCTGGCAATGCAGCCAGGGAAAGTAGGAAGATTTCCCCTCATAGTGTCTCTCCCTCCGGAAAGCTATCTCCAGTGACACTGTCTCCCCAGTCAGGAAGGCGCTTTTCCCTGGTGATGCCAAAGGCTCAACCTCCCCCTTGTGTCTAGAAACCTAAAGCATTTGTCTGGTTTTTATTTTATTTTACTTTATTCTTTTGCTCTGCTCTCTCTGACCTCCTCATGGCTGGTTTGTTTCCCTTACGTCAGTGCCAAAGAGAGAACTTGTCCCTGGGACAACCAGCTCCTTGACAAGGGGCTACTCTCTGCACTTGCCTGATGGCCTAGGGACCTCTTGCCTCACTGGCTACTCAGTCTTCATTTATGCATAAATTTCTCTCCTGCCTCACTTAAGCATGAGCCTTTGATATACATTTTTGACTATCTTTAATTTTTGAGTGAAATATTTTACTCCGGAATACTGTTGTGGTGGCGGGTTCTCATGAACTTTTTCTTTCCGGTCAGCCTCATGTGTCCTGGATCTTGCTGAGGATGGCTTTAAACTCCTGACCTTCCTGTCTCTACAATTGGTATGGACAAACTTCCTGCTTACTTTCTTTCTTTCCTTTCTTCCCTTCTTTCATTACTGGTATGTGTGTGTGTGTGTGTGTGTGTGTGTGTATGTGTGTGTTTGTGTGTCTGTTGCCTTATGAGTGACAGCTAAGCACTCTACCACGGACTCACACTCCAAACCCCAGTAGAATTTCATCCATGCCAGTTTTTTTTTATCATAACAATTTATTAGAGTAAACTGTCAATATGTAGGAGTCTCAAGATTAACAAGGTTTAAAAGCTCATCAGAGTTGACTTGGAACATTTACTCAAGTAGCACAATCTTTCCCCTGAAGTAGATGCTGTCCCCACTGTCAGCCCAATGGTCTATATATTTTTTTGAAGGGTGTAATATGAAATCCATTAAGCTCTGTTGTCCTAGAACTCTGATGGACTTTGTGCTAAACTAAGCAAGATGGAGTTTTCTCTCTCTGTGTAGCCCTCCCTCCCCCAGCATCTGCTCAGTTGCAAACTCTGTTCCTCCCCAAACTCTCTGCTCTCTTGGCTACTGTCACTCAAAGCTCTTTCTCAGTTTCTTCTGTACACAACTCTTCCTTTACATGTTGATGGTCCCTAGGGATTTTCTTTCAGGTTTCCTCTGTCTCATTCTACATCAGGAGCTGTTTTAGATGCTCTCCGTATGCTTTAAAAAATTCTATCATATACTACATCTTGACTGCATTTTTCCCTCTCTCCCCTCTCTCAGTATCTTCCCCCACCTCCCCTCTACCCCAGGTTCACTTCTCCTCCATCTTCTCTCAGAAAAGAGCAGCCCTTTCAGGGAATCTACCATACATGACATAGTAAGCTACAAAAAGACCAGGTGCACGCCATCAGGTCAAGGCTGGATGAAGCAACCCAGTTGGAGGAAAAAAGTCCCACAAGTAGGCAAGAGAATTAGGGACAGTTTCTGCTCCCACTGTTAGAAATCCCACAGGAACATCAAGCTACTAGGTCATAACATATATGCAGAGGACCTAGATAAGACCCCCTACAGGCTTGGTAATCTCTGAGAGCCACCATGAGTCTCAGTCAGTTAATTCTTTGGGTTATGTTCTTGTAGTGTCACTGACCCTTCTGGTTCTTCCAATCTCCCTTAAACCCCCGACTCCATTCTTCCACAGGACTCCTTGAGATTTGACTAATGTTTAGCTGTTGTACTCAGTATCTGCTCCTATCAGTTGCTGGATAAAGTCTCCTCTGGTCTCTGAGAATGGTTGTTCTAGTCTCTGGTCCCAGAATACTATGCAAGCATGACAAACTGGAGGTTTTGTGACTGGGTTGGTGTCCCAATCCCTCCATTTGAGGCTTTGTCTGGTTACAGAAGATGGTTGGTCCAGGCTTCGTGCCTCCATTGCTAGGAGTCTTTGTTTGAGTTAGTTTGTAGATTCCATCGAGTTTCTATTACACTAGGTTTTTACCTTGTCCCCAAAATGACCCTAAATTCCAGTTGCTTCTCCCAGTTTTTCCCTCTCCCCCACATCTGACTCCTCTTTGTTCAACCCCACCTGCATCTAGTCCACTGGCAAAATCTATTCTATTTTCCATTCACAGGGCCAATCCATGTGCCCTCCTGAGAGATTTCCCACCCCCCATTACTTAGCCTTTCTGGTCTGTGGCTTATAGCATGGTTATTATTTACTTAACAGTTAATATCTACTTATGAGTGAGTACATATGATGTTTATATTTTTGGGTCTGGGTTACCTCACTCAAGATTAATTTTTCTAGCTACATCCATTTACCTGGAAATTCCATGATGTCATTGTTTTTAACAGCTGAGAAATAGTCTATCATGTAAATGTACCACATTTTTTTTTTATCCATTCTTTGGTTGAGGGATATCTAAATTGTTTCTAGTTTCTAGCTATTATGAGTAAAAATATCATCCTGAGTGAAGTAACCCAATCACAGAAGAACACACATGGTATGCACTCACTGATAAGTGGATATTAGCCCAAAAGCTAGGAATACCCAAGATACAATTCACAGATCACATGAAGCTCAAGAAGGAAGACCGAAGGTGGGCGCTTCAGTCCTTCTTAGAAGGGGGAACAAATACTCATGGGAGCAAATACAGAGACAAAGTGTGAAACAGAGACTGAAGGAAAGGCCATCCAGAGACTGTCCCACCTGGGGATCCATCCCATATACAGTCACCAAATGCAGACACTATTGTGGATGCCTAGAAGGGCATGCTAACAGGAACCTGATATAGCTGTCTCCCAAGAGGCTCTGCCAGAGCCTGACAAATATAGAGGCGGATGCTCACAGCCAACCATTGGACTGAACATTGGGTCCCCAATGGAGGAATTAGAGAAAGGACTGAAGGAGCAGAAGAGGTTTGCAACCCCATAGGAAAAACAACAATATCAACCAACCAGACTCCCTCCACCTCCAGAGCTCCCAGGGACTGAACCTCTAAAACTAAGCCAGCCTAAATTAAATGTTTTCCTTTATAAAATTGCTTTGGTCATGTTGTCCCTTTGGAGCAATGAAACCCTAAAGCATACCTACCAGCAACAGAGGAATGTTCCTCTTGCTCCACACTCTGGCAGCATGAGCTGTTACTTGTGGTTTTGATCTGAGTCATTCTGACAGGTGTAAGATGGAATCTCTAAGTCATTTCAATTTGCATTTCCCTGATGGCTAAGGATTTTTTAAAATAATTTATTTATTTATTTTTTTAAATTTCTTTTTTTTTGAACATGAAATGCTTTTTTATAGCATGTTTTACAAGGGGAGGCGGTAAGAGGGGCCAGGTGGTGGAAAAGTACAAAATCTTCTTGGCCTGTGCCTTGAAACATGTCATGGTCTATACGGTACACTGCCTTGAATTATGATCTACCTGATGTTCTTCAGAAGATATGGTACACTGCTTGAGTTATGGTCTCCCTGCTATTCTTAAGATGATATGGTACACTGCTTTGAGTCTATCTGCAGTTGCTAAGCAGGATCTTGCAGTTGCCAAGCTTCAGAGGACATTGTGCAGGTGGGGAAAGGTAGGGGGTGAGGGTAAAGGCGAGGGTCCTGGCTTCTGGCATCTCCCCCTTCTCTGTTTAGTTAGAGAAGGCATCTTATGATCAATCCCAACTATATGAATTTTGAATTTGGATGTCTAATTATGGGGGAGTCTTAGACAAGTTCACAACCCCAAAACACTGATGTGAGACGAGTCACATCGATGGTCGAAGGTTTTAGGCTGTCGACGATGGGCAACGTCAAGGGACTCCGATGTGGGTGAAAGGAGGGTGAGAGCCCTGTCTTAGGCCATGTAGGCTGCACCCACTCCCAGCACCACACACTCCTTTTCGGCTGCATTGGGTGGGCCCCTGGGAAGTGGACCTACAATAATCCCATCATTGGGCTAACTCACAGCCATCCTAGCCCCTTGTAAATGTTCAAGTTACCAACCATTTGTCAGTTTGGGGTGTAATATTGTCATAAAGGAAGGCTCCCCAATGTTAGCGGCCATATCAAGGACGGCCTTGGTTTAGGAAAAAGCCAATTTTTGTTGGGGTGATCAAGAGGCCAAGCTCTCTAGCGAGAGAAACGAGGGCAAAGCCAGGCATACCAGGAACCCTTCTGGAGGGCGTGGAAGTCTAGGGGTCGACCGTAGGGGGAGGCAGGGGAGCTGGCAGCTGTGTCAGTCTCCTGCGGAGTCACTTCTGGATCCTCTTCAATTTTCAGATGATGGTAATGAACTTCAACCGTCTTCTTGATGGCAGCATCAACCTGGT